ACACTCAGGGGGGTTCCGAGCGAGTCCTTGTCATGTTGACTTGGTCGCTGGGCTGGTGAGGCTGCTCCAGGGTCTGGAGGCTTGAGTGTAGCAGAGCTGGCATTGTGTTGTTCCTGGGTATAGGAGGGACCGGCTTCCGTTACAGTGGGGATGGCTTCGCTGTCATCAGATCGTAAGGTTATGAGCTGACGAGAGAAGGGTTGAAAACTGAGGATTGCTTCGACCTGAGCGCGGTAGCCGGCATCATCGGCCACGGTGCTGGGGGCGGAGATGTGGACGAGCACTTCGGATTGTTGCATGGCATCGGAGGGGAGGTTGATAAAGAGCCTGGACCGACATGGTGGGGCACTTGACTATCGGTGCAGACGTTTCAGTTTAGGCGGGACAAAGTGCCCTTTGCCCTGAGAGCAGAGAGGAACTATAGTAGCCTAGATTAGATGAAGGATGGAGTTGGAAGAGAGAACAATGGACAGTAAAGGCAAGAGGGGGAGAAAGTGCAGAGGGGAAAAGCACATGATAGGCGGAAGCATCGAAGATCACGAGTCAGGGCGGCCTGAGGCGCGATCCCGATTGGGTGGACTGGCGGCCTTAGGCTGCCGATCCGCTCGATAGTTTCCGCGCCGTCCAAACAACTTCTCCTCTTCACTGAGCTCAGACGGGTCTCTGCTCAACCTCGTCCTCCCTTGAGATCCTCCCTAATCTCGATCTGACCCGGCTTCTCGGGGAGCTTCGTCGGCGATGATTCGGTCTTTAATTTCAATTGGGCCCGTGGTCTGTTGGTACTTGGTAAGCTAACTACAAGTATCTTGGTTTGTGATCCTGTTCGGTGATCGTCGTCGTGCGCCTAGCCTCGGCTTATCATTGATGGATTGGGACAATAATCGTGGACAATCGAATAGTGGCCATGCTCAAGGGTGCCAGGACCACATCTTGGGTGATGTGATAATAATGGCGATTAGAGTCTATACCATTGACGAGCTATCTATCTTTTCCAAACCAAGGTGTTCGAGGCTTCGAGCCACCATCATCGCTACCCACCTGGCATATTGACTCTAATTCGAACGTGTTTATCCAATGGCCGGGAGTGTCTTCCAGCATTCAGAGAAATGACCGTGCACTACCCAATGGGTAGTGCGGAGTACCCTTGGTGTTGGTTGGGGGGTGCTCTGTGCACTACGTATGGGCTTGCATGGTGGGAGAACCCCTCGGGGACCAGGAATTCAATGTTCACGAAACCTGCAGCAGACAAAGAGGGACAGAAAAAGCAAAGAGACCCCGGAAAGGGGCGATCCCGGTCAGTTACATCACCTCGATTAGCAGGGCGCGCGCGTGTGTGTGCACTATCCCATCTGTAGGTCTTATGCGGGAATAACGCGGTAGTTATGAGGTACAATGAAGCAACTCCGACAATTTGATCAACGAGCGCACAACCTGCTTACCTGTCCGGGCAAAGAGCGACGAAACGTCGACCGACTGGCACGATCACGATGGGATCGAGTGGCATCTTCTCCTCGTCCTCTTCCCCCCCTTACAGTGGAATAACCACCGCGGCAGGAGCAGGAAGGTGCATACATCCAATCATCCACTAAGCTCCGGATGTAGGTACCGCACCGAGATAGTGTCCACTTGACCACCTCGCAACCCGGCAGCTCGCGCATGCTTATTCCTAATGACGCAGCACAGCCGGAGCGTTGGGGACAGTAGATTTTCCTGTGCCTACCACTAATGAATAATAAACGTATAGCGCTATCCTGGACCAGGCGACTAGTCCGAGGCTTCTGTGTGGGCAGTGGGGCTGATGGGCCCGTTGAACACGGACTGGTGAACCAGACAAGCCCCAAAAAAACGATTGTGGGTTTGCAAACGAAGAAAGTTAAGCCCAGAGCAGGATCAATACCCCCTCAAAGGAATCATGCAGTGTCTACGGGAATACTGTGGATGGTCAGAAGGTGGAGGGAGAGCAAAAAAAAAAAGAAAAGAAGAGGAAAAAAAAGCAAAAAGGGACAGGCTCGACGGTAGATCAACCAAGGAGAACCTGTTTTCCCAAACCCATCGGTCCGGGTCGCAGCGAAATTAAGTCAAGAATGTTACACACGGCGCCTGCCTCTATTCTGAGATGTCAATTGAGGGATGGCAAAGGTGGGAAGAAGGGCAGGACTTTTTTGGGGGGTGGTGGTGGAAGTGGTCCACGGAGGCTGACGGAGCACTACTACCGGGCGACAGGCGACAGGTAAGAATGGTTTCTGGTACGACAGCCGGGGGGACGATCGATCGAACCGCCGGGCCAAAGAGATGCGCCATATATCAGATTCGTGAGCACTTTTTCTTTTATTTCTTTCCCATCTCCTTTTTTAATCACTCCATTTTCTGACTTGCGTCCCTCTGATCCTCTGAGTGCATGAGGCTAGGACTGAGGTAGAATGGGAGAAGAATGTACTACATATAATAAAAAATAAAATAAAAAGGAGGAAGTAAAAAATTAATAAAGATAATAATAAAACCACTTACAGTAGCACCTGATGGATCCGGATAGCAGAGAGACGAACCATTGCCGCGGATTTAGTGATGATGAGGAGGAGGATGATGAGTACGGGAGTAGTAGCACGATTGATTATTGACGATGCAGCGAGGATCCCAATTCACAATTACTCGGAGGGGGGAGAGGCCAACAGAGACAGGCAGACGTGAGGGGCGACGACGATTCAGAGGAGGATAAAAAAGAAAAAACCAATAGCCAATAACCGCCGAGTGACTGGATGCCTGGCCGATCACACCCGGATAGTAGTAGTTGTTGCTTCACTCCACACAGGCAGATGCTTTGCTTCTCATCCTCTTGAATTCTTTGACAGGAACACGAATAGTGAATAATTGAATGATCACTCATTATCTGGTTTCTCACTTATGTAATGTTTTTTTGTGTGAGGGATGGAAGGAGAGAGAAAGAGAGAGTATGGTAAGGTTAAGCTGGTTGTGTAGCCCATCTCCAGTACTACATTAGCCGTAGTACTACTAATACTAAATACTAAAGCCGAGGCGAGATCGGGACAGCCAGAGGCGAGAGAGAGAGAAAGAGAGAAGAGAGAAGAGGAGGGAGGGGGGGTGGAGGGAGATTCTGCACTAGTCTGAAACGGGCCGGGGAATGTGTGAACTGTAAGGTACACCCTCTTTGCTGTCTCTCTCTCTATCTGTCTCTTATTTTCTGACCTCTTTTTCTTTTCAATTATCCCCTCTGCACTGCTGCTTTCTGTCCCTCTCTCTCTCTCCCTCTCTTTTTGGATGAGCATTTTTGGGGTATGATTATAATTATTATCATAATTATTTTATTCTTTCGACCGTTCCCCTTTTCACTGTGAAGTTTAATTCCTTTTGATCTCTGTATGCTGTATGCTGTATTTATTTTATTTTTTCAACAATTAATAATCATGGTCGATATTTGATTTTCTTCTTGGTTATCACATTTATTCATTTATTCATATTGGATTTTCTTTTTTTAATTCTTTTATAGATTCTGCAAATTCATGATCAATTCTGTCACGGACCAATCCATTCCTTTCCCTCCTGTACAATTCCAATTTAAATCTGTGCCTGGATCTATTGTGACTACTAGTGGACGCCCCGGGTGCATGGCAGGCACCAACCACTACTAAGTTGATGTTGCTACTACTAGACTGTAATTAACTAGTAAACTAACGCCGTGTGCCTGGCCTTTGCGCCGACCGCTGGGGGGGGGTGTCTCTGCTGGGTCCGTGAAGAAAAAGGGAAGGGAGATGCACGCAACGAGCCAATAATGCTCGGGACCGCTAGAAGGCTTGACAGGGTCTCCCCCGTCGATATAACGCCGGCTCGCCTACGGATGACCAACTTAACTTCGGGTCCCGAACGAGTCGATACTTACTACTTACTTACTATCGTCGCTCTCCATTCATCCAAAACCGAAACTAGTCGACTATCCAGGACAGTAGTGGGTGTCCACTCACTCACTCACTCTTTTCACTCTTTTCACACACTCTCTCTTTCACTACTGACTTGCCACAAGAGTATTATTCTGTCTCTTTCTTCTTTTCCCTCTTCCTCCTCTTTCTTCTTCTTCTTCCTCTCACTTCTTCCCTCCCTCTCCCTCTCACACTCTCTCCACTTACCCTCATACTATCTATCTATCTATCTATCTATCTACTCTTTCCCTTCCTCCACCACCATCTCCTCCCCCTTTCAACCTGCAGCTTCAAGTCTCAACTGAAACTCGCCCTTTTCTGACACACCCCATACTTCCATCCAATCCATCCGTCAACTCCCGCCCACCACTCCCGCCGCACCCACTTTCTCCTCTCTCCTACCTTACCTTACTTACTTACTACCACTACCACTACCACTACCACTACCAAGAAACCACAAATCAACATACCAAAACTTAACTTATACATTTATCCACCTTCAACCCACGGACGGTAAACGGGCAACCGGGCAAACCTTCCAATTAATCAATTAATCGATATTATTGCCTGACCGTTTTTCCACACCCCGCCAGCCTATTTCCCATCTGCTCCATTCAGATCTCTCCTTTTCCCCTGGTCCAGAGCTCGTGTGGTGGCTCCCCTCCTCCACCCCCCAAACTCAGGTCCCCATCGGCCGCGCACTTTCGGGGAAAACGTCCGACCCTGCCGGTGCGTATATCTTGTTCCCCAACGGTGAAAGACGCTTGGACAGGAAAAAAAATAGAGGAATCCACTTGACTACCAAATCAAAGTCCATTTTAAGGCTGACAACGGTCCAGATTGATTGATTGATTGAATCTCGCTTTCATTTAATCTGCTGTCGGTTCCTCTTCCTCCACCGTCTAGTCCCATCGAATCCTTTCTCTCTCTCTCTCGCTCGCTCTCTTCGCTTCCCCTCATTCTTCCCGCCTCCGTCCTCCGCTTCGTCGGTGTCCTCCGTCGGCCATCTTTTGATCGCGCCGGTCGCATTTCTCCCAATCACCCTCTTTCTTCATCATCACAACCATCATGACTTCCATAAATGGTGGTCCGATTTCCGTGGACCTGAGTGCGGGCAATCGCCAAACCATGACACCGGAGGCTATGCCAAGTAAGTTCCCGGCTTCCTTTGCCTTGGAGACCTCGCATTGCTTGTATACCTGTGGTGATACGATTGGCGCCCGTTTTCATTTCATTTTATTTCTTTTTTTTTTCCCTGGGGAACATCTGTGTTGGATACACAGAGCATCCCGGATGGGGGAAAGGCTGCAGTCGGCACCGTTCGCTTGTAACCTACCGTTTCTTGATTCTGTCATCTGCACTGCCTGCATGTTGTATGACGTGATGTGCTGTACCTACATGTCTTTCCTCATTTCGTGATATTCTGTCGCTTGTTGTGTCTTGCATCGCTTTGCGCGGACAGGATCCCGTCAATTGCCCGCTCTGACACTGCATGCAGGCCAACCCAATTCCAGACCCTCGACAATCGGGGCCGACTTTTTCAAGTTCTTCAGCGGCACACAGAAGAAGGTTACTCGAGGTTTGTACTACTCTGTGTTCTCTCTTGTCCGCACTCGTTGTAACCGACTCCCTTCTAGATGGTCAACCGGCCAAACGACGTGGTCCCAAACCCGACAGCAAACCCGCCCTTACCAGACGACAGGAATTGAATCGCCAGGCTCAGAGGTACGTGGCTCTCCCGTCTCTGCATTTTATCTAGGAACAGATGCCAACGACTGTTTAGAACTCATCGCGAGCGCAAGGAACAATATATACGGGCGTTGGAAACGGAGGTGTCGCGGTTGCGAGAGGCATACACACAGGAGATTTCGGCGGCCAACTTGACGGTGGTTCAACACCGGGATATGGTGCAGTCGCTATCGGACGAGAACACCATCCTGAAAGACATCCTCACGGCCCATGGCATCAACTACGAACCCGAGCTCGAGCGGCGCAAGGCTGAACGACCCACGATCGGCTATCAGTCTAGCCCATTTGCCAGCAGTAGCACGGGATCGCAGCCCACCGGCGTTGCTCCTTCCAATCCCTCGACGAACAACATGTACACCACACCACCGACCACCGTCTCCGCAAGCTTGAGTCCGATCACCACGGGGATCGAGCAGATTGATGTGTCGTCGAGCGAGATGTCACCACCGCAAGGGCCGTATCAGGCCGCCCCGTGTGACGCCCTCGCGACGCTCGACCAGATCGCGCCGGTGAGCCGGGCACCGAGGCACCCATCGGGCATCTTTGAGGAGCACCCCCAGCTGCAGATTGACTTTATCTTGACGTACGCCCACCAACTCTTTGTCTACCGGAGGATTGTATGACTGACTGCTGTCTAGATTGGAATCGCCGTGTCGCGAACATACCGACTATCTCTGCCGCCGATCGATCACGGAAGCCGATGACGAGGACATGCCATTCTCGGGTCATGCCTTGATGGCGACCTGCCCGCCGCCCAGTTACATCGCCACCACCTCGAATGAACAGACTTATCCGCACAAGACCTACGACCTCCCTCACGCCAACCTGTCGACCCTTCTCAACCTCAGTCGGCAGCTCGTGACGGACGGACAGATCACGCCTATCATGGCGCTGCAGTGTTTGAAGAACCACGAGCTCTACCGCAGCCTGACCAAGGACGACGTCAAAGTGATCATCGAGACGCTGAACACCAAAGTTCGCTGCTACGGCTTTGGCGCGGTGGTGGAAGACTTCGAACTGATGGACTGCCTGAGCAGTGTTCTCGGAGCCAAGGTCGAGGGCGCCCTTTCCCATCCTGGCGATGAGATGATGTATTCGTGAGCTGATGGCAGAAGCGGGCGATCTGGATGGAGTTAATGAGGTGATTATTTGGGTTTGGGTAATTGTTCTAACAGGGTTTGCTTTGGCGAGGTGTATATAAAAGCTCTGGGAGCAAGGCTGTTCTTTTCTTCGATTCTCTTCTTCTGTTCCCTTCTTCCTGTGGGGTTAACCGCCAGAGCGCACTGGCCATACAACTTGTTAATTTTGAATGTCTTCTACTTTCCTTTTCTATCAGTGTTGGATCTTGCCCAGTTGATTTAAGCTATACCACCCATTAATCAATAATCACGAGAACCACGATGCTACTACCAATAATACATACACACCCACATACCATATATTTTCAATCCCACAATAAACATAAAACATAACATAATAATCACACAGAAATAGTAGTACCTCCCCTAATCCTCCCCACCACCTCCCTCACCCTCTCCCACTCCCCGTCCTTCAAAATCCGATACACCCTCTCCAACTCATCATCATCATCATCCCCTTCTCCCAAACTCTCCTCCCCATTCTCCAATTCCTCTAATGCCCCGCTCCCTTCTTCTAAAATATTTACATAAAACTCATCGACAGATGAAGACTCCTGATACTCATGATATTGTCTCTGCAATCGATTCACCTCCGCCCTCAACTCCGCAATCATCTCCGCTTGCGCAATCGCCTGCCTATCCTCATCCGGCACGGCATATTTACATTCGTGCGCGATGTTCCGCGCACTGCATGTTTCGCATGGTTGGAGGCGGTTGCACTGTCACCTTTTTAGATTGGATGTAATTGAGGTTTTGGGGGTGAGGGGAAAGGGGAGGGATCTACCTTGACTTTTCGGGTTCGGCAGGGGAGGCACGATGCCGTTGGGCGGGATTTGGGACGGTGGGCGATGGGGGTGGGCATGTTTTTTTATTTGGCTTCTTTGTTTGGAGGGGGGTTGTGAAGTAGGTGATTGTTGGAGGTGGATAAATGTTGTAGGTTAGATGATGGGAGTAGCTAATTAGTAGTTAAGTCGATTAGAATTTAGTGGGTTAGTTGGTTAATGGACGGGAATGAGTAATCTAACCTTGTTTGGTTTGGTTTGGTGGCGTGGTGTGGCTTTGGTTACTGGATGGGTTATAGTAATAATAGTTGAATGAGGTGTCTAGAGTGTATTGAATGGTTTGTAGTATTTATGCAATTGGTTCAAAAATGTTGATTTGGAATTGATGCTGAATATTTGTATATAGTATATGTGGTTTGTAAGGTTGTTGTATAATGACGGTTGTTGGAATTTGGTGAAGATGTCAAACTAACTTTAATTTTTATTCGTAGTTAAGTTGGTAGTATGTAGGAATGGAATGTGGTGACTGGTGACATGGTATGTGGAGGGGGTCAATAATGTGTCATATCCATATCTCCTTCAAGTCCCATAATAGTATACTTCAATCCACATACCAGACAAGACTCCTCCATCACACCCTACCAACTCATCCATCACATTACATCAAATCCATCCTCTTCTCCCACATACATCCTTATATCATACTTACAACCCAACTTCTATACCCATATAGTAATATACACATCTAGAAGACTAACCTCCCCTCCCCCCTCCTCCCCCTCCAAAAATCCGTACTCCTCCTCAACCCCCCCAACCCCAGCACCACCCACCTCCACTTCCTCAAAAACGCCTCCGTAACCTCCCAATTGCACGGATCCCACGGCACGCCCCACACCACCAACGTCGCCCCAGAGTTGCGAGTATCCCAAAACGCCATGAGATCCCGACACAGCTCGTCCTCATCCAAGTAGCCCGTCGCAGCTGCTACAATCAACCGGTCTCGCATCTCGGGGAACGGGAAGAAGTCCAGCCAGGGGTGGTGCGGGATGAGGCGTTGGAGGGGCGTAGGGCGGAGACTTTCCGGGAGGGTGGAGATATTGATGAGGGATGGGGTGTTGGTGTTGAAGATTGAGAGGGCGTCGTCGGGTCGCAGGTGCGCGGGTGTCATGCCCAGTAAGCGGATGTTGTCGTTGATGGCTCGGTGGACGTTGAGGCGTGAGAGACTCAGCAGGTGTTCGAGACGGGGGCTGTTGGTGAGGTAGCTTTGGATGGCGAGGGTGGTGAGGGTTTTGCGGAGGTCGGGGATGTTGATGTTGGTGGGGGCGAGGGGGCAGTGGTGATTATCTTCTTCTTCTGCTGCTGCTGCTGCAGCAGCTTTGTTTGATGGGGATGGGGATGGTGATGATGTGGGGTGGTGGGTTGTGATGGAGGGATGGGGGGTTAGGGTTTGGGTTTGAGTGGTGGATGAGGATGAGGAATCCCCCGTAGTGGCCTTGTGTTTCTTGCCTGGTTGATGTAGTCAGATTAATAACCAATACTTGTGTCGGAGGAAAACATACGATAAGCCCGTTGATTCAACCGATTCTGCAGCCGACGACGGTGGATTCGATCGCTGACCCCCGTCCAATCATCTTCAGGCGTCCAGAGATGTTCTAGCTGAGGCATCGGCCGAAGCGTCACAGTGTTTGATGTTGATGATGTAGGAGCTATCGGATCCATTTGGAGTGGTGGTTCGTGTCGAGACATGATGTGGGTTATTGGTTATTGGTGGATGCAAGTTGCTGACACGGCGGAGCTGCAGGCTTATTTATGCAGGGCTAGTCTACCAGTACTTGACCCACTCGGGGAACGGTGATTCTTCGGTCTGAACGTTAATTTCTAGGCTGAAGTTCTGGAATTGTGTTCTGATAGATAAGCCTGGGACGGTGGGGCTTTCAATTTCATGGATCGGGATTGATAGTTGTGGCGATTATTGCCTCGAAGCGGGAAACTTAGAATCACTAAAAGTCTACTTATTTTGTTCCATATACATAGCTGTGTAACTATCGGTATATATGATTATTTACTTCTCTAGAGAGAGGAGGCTCGTTCTGTTTATTCACTCTTGTCCTCCCACAACAACAGCGCCAAACAATAGCAATGACTATCCCAAGAAGCAACCCCCCTCCTATACCAGCAGCCAGTCCAATAACCAGCGGTTCATAACCCCCCAACGGACGGCGGTCCTCACTACCTTCGCAGCGTCCACCTTGGCAACGGCCACTGCCACTATCGCATTGCGAGCCACTTACCAATCGGCAGTTAACGCAGCAGGAATCGGAATTGGAGTTGTTCGCGCAGTTCTCACCGCAATCGCACTCCTCGCCGTCCTCGACAATGCCATTACCGCACTCACCAGCAGGGGTACTTGGACCACTGATTGTAGGTCCGGTATCATTACTGTGCACAAGACAGTCATTCTCTACTCTGCCAGAGCGAAGCAAGGAACACACTTGTCCAACAGTGCAGGGCGAAAAGGACGTCTGGTAGGACGTGGAAGATGGGTTCATGATATACTGTCCGCCGGCGTCGCAAGAGCTCGAAGACAAGGGGCAGCAATCCCCATCCGAAGTGGAGCAGGTTTGAGAGTCGCAGTCATGGGTCGCGCCGAACATGTGGCCGGATTCATGGCTACACCCATATAACATAATCAGTATGGTTCAAAAAGTAGGATCGGTCAAAAGGACTTACGCAAAAACCTGCCACTGATTGGAAGTCCGCGCCACTACATTTGCCCCGGAGTAAGTAGTGCAGAGCCCTCCCACGATGGACACACCCACCACGTTCCCGGTGGGACAGTTGGTCATCAGAGTCCAGTAGGCATTGGGGTCATAATGCCAGCGTCGCCATGAGGCAAATTGCTGGAGTCGCCAGTCCAGATTCCCACTGGAGCAGCCGACATTCCATGGGGTGTCTCGCTGGGGTGTGTCGGGACATGACTCGTCGCTGATGGTGATGTTGCGGATGGCGAGCGAGATGTTCCATGTCCTCTCGTAGACCTCTGATGCGGTGTTCACCATGCTGATTAGTCCTCGGCGGAGCTCATCTGTGGATGAGAATGCGGCGCGGTAGGAGCAATCTGTGGCGAGACCGATCAGAGCGACTCGCCGGGGCCGGGAGCATGTGTTGTCTTGGGTGGATTGGCGGGGGAAGACTGTGTTCGGAGATAGTGTGCTTATAGCATCTCCAGATGTGCTGATTTCCATGTGCGGAAAGGAGGAATTGGACTGCGTGATCAGGTTGATGTGATATTGTTGATCGAACAGAGTAAAGGCTCCCTCGAACAGCGGGCTTGTCCCATCCTGGATGAGATATATGCGCGCTCGTCCTGCCGGATGCCATGCATTGCTGGACGAATTTACCAGAACATCACCCCGAAACACTCTTTCCCTGTCTCCATTGAGTGATTGGGGTTCTGTGCCGTTCAGATACTCGATATAAGTATCCGGGGCAAGAATGTCCCGGTTCGGTTCTAATTGCAGCCGTACCTGGCCCTCATGTCCAGGAACCCCTATAGTAATGTCCAGTTGGCCCTTGACCGAGACAGTCCGTGACTGGGGGTGAATTACGACCTGCTCGAGTCGGGCTGCATATTCTGTGGCTGGGTTTCGAACCGAATGGCCTAGTAATGTAAGGGTGATTCTCACTAGTAGGGTAAGATACATGTCATACCTAGAACATTCTGAATTAAACTGAATGTGCACACCACCGAAAGAACATCACAGAAAATCCTCATGGCAGCTCTGTACTTTTTCGCAGATCGAATTTATTGAGCCGCCCATGATGCGTTGCTTCTTTCATGATCCGTATATATACTCCATAATGAAGAACCCTACCAGTAAACACACAGACATGAACACCGTAAAGGGCTATACACATCATATCTAGGCAACAGAATACTCATCCTCGCAATAGATAGATAGTAGAGGCTAAGCTGCTATCTCCGACGCACGATCCGAACTGAGGTCAGTCCAGTAAGCCAGAACTCCACCGCCATAAGCAGCACCCATCAGAGCTCATGATGCACTGCCACATAAGGGACATTTGTAATCATCCGACTCGAACCAGCAACCGGATGCAGATCGTGATGATGTCGACAGCATGGGTGAGAGAGAGAAGACCGAATGTGTTGCGTGGATGTGTATTCAGCCAAGCGTGCCAAGATCAATTGGAACATCGCATGGGCAGTGCTAGCCTGACAAAACGATGTTGCCTGAAATTCCAAGTCATTCTAGAAGACACACCCTGAATGAAGAAGTTGTGAGAGACACAAAACACAGACAGCGGAAGAAGATAAACTTGGCTGCTATCCGGCACTAATGCATCTTGCTTACGCCAAGCCAGACCCGCTCTTCACTAATCCATCAATCATCATCCGGGATGCTATGGAGCTAGACCCTTAACCATGGAAGGACACCAACCCTGGGTTGATGCTATCTCCGGCCTCGGCCTCAATTATGGTTCCATACGATCAACGTGAATGATGAATGCCAAACATAGTATATTCAATAACTGCCGACTATTTACCGAACTACACAAACAACCCTGCCTCCACCGGGGCACTGCAAATCTGCATCTCCTGCACCTCCTTCAGCAACGCATCATCCCCAAAATCCTCCAAGTCCAAATCCATAAACCCCTTCTCCGCCCACTTCCGAGCCGTCACAAAGAACGAATGCCCATTAACTCTCCCATCTGCCAGGATCCTCAGCAGGCAGCGCCCTGCATCCTCCGCTGTGGCAAACTCCACGCCGGCCCGCTTACAGTGTGCAAATGCCTCGTCGGACAAAATCCCGGTGTGCACATACCACGGGCTGATCACATTGACTCGGGACCCGTAGTAATATGCCGTCCGACGCAGGGAATGCATGATTCCCCGCATCGCCCACTTACTGGCACAGTACTGCGGTGAGCGTGGCACGTCGAGGAACGCCGCGCCTGAGCCGATGAGAATCAGGCAGGTATCTTCTTGCTCTGGGGTAGGTGTGGTTCCGTTCTGGCGGATGAAGTGGTGCATAGCTAGTTTGGCTGTGTAGAGAGGGCCTTTGATGTTGATGTCGATGATGCTTAGGTCTGGTTCGGGTAGGGAGTCCGGTCCTGGCTGGAAGATTTCATCTACGCGGTGGATGCCGGCGTTGGCAACCACGTAGTGGATCCGGTTGGTTGGGGAGAAGGTGACTGCTGCTTCGAAGAGGCGGACTTGGTCGGTCCAGGTGCCGGTTGAGCAGGGGATGAATTTGGTGCTTGGGGGTTGAGTCAGCGTAGGGGATGATGGCAGCATTGGGAAGAAGTTACCCTGGTAGCTCGGCTTCAAGTTTCGGACCTTTCTGTGTGTCGATGTCACCGATACAGACGTAGACACTGTCATTAAACTTTCGTTAGCCCTGAATAGAGGGAGAGGCGAGAGACATACCCGGCTGCAACGAGAGCGCGGACATAGGCTTCACCAAGGCCGTTGGCACCGCCTGTGACGATGGCGGTTTTGCCCGCCAAGGAGCTGCAATCTGCGTCCTGGGAGCAGTCGACTGGGCCAGTGTGTACGTAGGGCGGCATGATGAAAGAGGATAGATGTCCGTTGTCTGTCTTGGAAGATGGAAGAGAAGGACAATCGGGGGATGCCTTTATGTGCTTGCGAAGTGGGGAGGCAGTGATATCCATGGATCAATGTAGCATGGATCAGACATTAATACAATCTAAAGACATCCAGACTATAACCAACCATATCAAAACGTTGCAGTGGGTAGCTTACGCCCCACAGTAAGCAAGTCGCATTAGCATGACGAGGCCCAGAAGTGATCTACTTCTCAACTCCATCCAGACATGACAATGCCCCTGACGAACATCACAATCACGCAACGAGACATCACGATATTGCAGAGACAATGGTTATAAAAGCCATGTACTCACCTACTTCAAGAACCACAAATCATCAACACAACCATCCAACTACCAACCCAAAACCTCAAAGCCACTCTCAGCTTCTGCATCACCATGAAACCCCCAGCCCTCCTTCTCGCCCCAATCCTGCATACAATATGCACCGCGGCGCAAAACCTCTCCTACGGCGCCGACAACTTCTACCGAAGTAACCTGGTAACCCTCCAACCAGTGACCTTCCCAACTCAATACCAAACCCTCATCGCCGGCAACCTCTTCATCCCCAACAACCTCACCACCTCCACCCCGGCGCCCGCCATCATCGTCGGCCACCCCATGGGCGCCGTAAAAGAGCAATCCGCCAACCTATACGCCACCAAAATGGCCGAACGCGGCTACATCACCTTATCCATCGACCTCCCCTTCTGGGGCAGCAGCACCGGCACCCCCCGCAACGCCGTCTCACCCGACCTCTACGCCGAAGCCTTCAGCGCCGCAGTCGACTACCTCGGCAGCAACACCACCACCATCACCACCATCCCCTCCATCCCCCATCCTATAACCATCAACCGCAACCGCATCGGCGTCATCGGCATCTGCGCCAGCGGAGGCTTCGCTCTCAGCGCGGCCAAAATCGACCCGCGCATCAAAGCCATCGTCACCGCCAGCATGTACGACATGGGCACCGTCAACCGGCAGGGCCTGCGCCATTCACAGAACCTCACCCAGCGCCAGGAAGTAATTGCCTCCGCCGCGCTGCAGCGCTGGCCTGAGTACGAGCACCCTGGCGGAGCGACCAATCCCATTGGATATACTAGCGGTACGCCGAACACCCTTACGGCTAATGCTAGTGCCGTGGATCGCGAGTTCTATGACTTTTACCGCACAGTGCGTGGCGAGTTTACGCCGCTGGGTTCGACCCCGGAGTTGACGACGCATCCGACGGTGACGAGTAATCTGAAGTTCATGAACTTTTATCCCCTCGAGGATTTGGATGTCATTGCGCCTAGACCTGTGCTGTTTATTTCTGGGGATCGGGCTCATTCTAGGGAGTTTAGTGAGAATGCGTATAGGGGGGCTAGTGAGCCGAAGGAGTTGTTGTGGGTGCCTGGGGCTGGACATGTTGATTTGTATGATCGCGTGGAGTTGATTCCGTGGGAGAGGATTGACGGGTTCTTTGGAAGGAATTTGTGAATATAATTTGTGGGGAGGGGATGATTGGTGGAGTGAGAGGGAGATGAGGTTGTAAAGTAGTTGTGGAGGATGAGGATGGATGTTAGGGTTAGATTGGGGGAGTTGTTTGGAATACGAGTATATTGTTGTGGAGATGGTATGCTGTGAAATATTGTAGAATTATTCAATGCTTTGAAGGGACTGTAAATATGCTCCTTATTCATGACACATCATTGAGTCCATCCACATACGGCTGTATTTGACGTGGATAGGGGCGAGAATTCGAATTGTGGCGTAGTTCTGTTACTTAGTTGCTTTCGCAGTATTTTGTGATGTGGGGGTCTACAAGTGTCTGGTTACGTGTATGTACGTTAGGTAGAAAAATGAATCTACTGGACTGCATGCGTCGTGCGATTGAATTATAATCTGTAGAACATAATGGACAAACTCTATGTTGAGACGTCGTTCGTAACTAACTTTTAAAAGCAAGGACAATCAATATGCACATGAGATAGAAGAAGATAAGATCATAACGTGGCTTCCGTTTACTCATCAGCCTCCTCCTCAGCACCCTCCTGCTCCTCACCAGCGACCTCCTCTTCCTCGTCAAAGGTGGTAGCAGGGACGCTGTACAGACGCAGCACAGGACGGTTGGGGTCCTTGATAAGAACGTACTTGGTGACCTTGTCCTCATCCTCATCGGCATCGAGGGCACGGATACGGTCAACAATAGTACGGACGATACCCCAACCGTTGCTGAGGTTCAGGTTCATCTGGGCAGCCAGATCACGGGGCTTGTAGCCGACAACACCGAGAACGACGTGGCCAGCGGCAGAGCGGGGGTTGGCACGGGAGACGAAACCCAGCTTCATGCCGTCAGCCTTGGCGAGGATGGCCTGGGTGGTCCAGCGGGCGAGCTTGACGCTGTTGTTCTTCATCTCGGTAGCGACAACGGCACCACGCTGAGACCAGAGCTTGCTGCGCCAGTCGAGAGCGCCACCGGAGCCCTGGGCCTTGCTGTCGAACTCGTTGAGGGCCTTGACGAGCAGCTGCTGGTCCTCGCCGTTGACGGGGTTCTTCATGAGGGCGTCGACCTCGGTACGGACGATCATGTTGACGGGCTCGTCGTCGCGCTCCAGGGACAGGTCGAAGCGGCGGTACTTGTAGGCCTTGGAGGCGAGGGGCTCGGTCTCCTCGGCGGCGTTGTAGAAGGGGTTGGGGTGAGCCAGGGAGACCTTGCTGTCCTCGGACTCGACGACGGTCTGCAGGGCGAAGTTGTGGTTGATGAAGGTGGCTTCCATGGCCAGGGCGCTGGGGGTGTTGATGGCATCCTGCTTGTTGGCGGAGTCGGCCAGCTCAAGGGGAGCGTCGGCGGCGTTCTCGTTGACGGTGACCAGGTCCAGGGAGGCGCCTTCGCGCTTGTCGAAGTAGATCTTGTTGCCCTGGTGGACGATGACAATGTCCCAAGAGTAGACACTGCGGGGGGCGCACATGAGCATGGACAGGATATCCGAGGTGGCGAAGATGGTGGCCTCGTTCTTCTCGGCCAATTCCTGGATGACGGGGTCCTGGGTGGTGGTGACGTTGTAGGCGGCACGGTCGAGGGACTGGAGACGGCGCTCGGCGTTCTTGACAGGGGCCTTGTCGTAGGACCGGTCGTAGTGGTAGAGGAAACCGTACGAGTCGACGTCCTCACCCTCGGGGGCCTCGAGGTTCAGCTTGGACAGACGGCTGAAGTCAACCTCCTCCAGCATGTTCCAGTCGGGGCGGACGTTGACCGAGGGCTCACGGGTGCGCTGGGGCTTGTCGTAATCCTTCCAGCCGAAGCGACGGCCACGGTTGCCACGGCCGCCAGAGCGGTTGTCGTAGTAGCGGTCACCACCCTGGCCACGGCCAGCACCCACGCGCTGGAAGCCGGCGCGACCACCGCGCTGAGCACCACCGCGCTGGGCGCGGCCACGGAAGACGGTACCACCGCCACGACCGAAGGTACGCTTAGCGGAGCTGCGGGTGTTGTCGACAACTGAGAAGGAGGATTCGTCTTCGGCGACCTGGACGGCGAAGAGGCTGGAGGAACCGGCACCATAGACTTGCTGGTCTGGAGGAAACAGAGTTAGTTGCTTTGTCTTGGCTTGGCTGGATATATTAGAATATGGTATACCTCTGTAGTTGCGGTTGTAGGCCTGGCGACCGGCACGGTTAGGGTCCTTGGACTCGGCAGTCCAGTCAGCCATACGGCCCAGCTTGTCACCCTTGGAGAAGGGAGCGTAGGGGACGCCCTGCAGCATGTTGTCGCTGGCGGTAGCGGGGCCCCAGGTGTCTTCGGCCGGCAGAGCGGCGACGATGTCTGCGATAGAGATGGGAGCCATGATGTCTGACTTAGGGATGGCCCTCAGATAATAGGAAATATAAAGGAAAGAGAAAAAAAACCCAGCGGGGAGAGTCTGGGGAAGATGGGAGGGGAGGATCGCAGACGGCGGATATTGACCGACTTGGGCTTCACTTTCGACTTTGCACTTTTTGTGTCGCGAGTCTGTGGCGCAACAAGTCTTGGCACGAGCCGCATGCACCGCCACATATACGATAACAGTCAGGTGACTGCATAACAGCTATGCAACAATCACATGCGCGCTGAGTAATGCAGTGATACATTACTTTTTATGCACACTATCCACGGTTCTCCAGGGGAATTGCTTTTTGTCTTATCATCATCCAAATTCAAGTTATGCCCGCTTATCTCTCATGTAATTAAATGCATGACAACATACTTGATAGATCGACAATGGATTTACTAATTGCTCAACTAACTATTGGCTTCCCCAATCCCTCAGTCCGGTTAAATCTCCGATCCCATGCGAACTCTATTTCTTCTGGTGAACATGTCAATAGGATCTGCTATCTGAGCGCTTGGCTTTATACCCAATGTGGATTTACGTAAAGGATCGTCTATCAGTGCCCCCAATTGCAAGGCTGAGAGTGATGTTTCTGAGATCCAGCTGAGATCGGGGTGTTCGATCAGGGATTGAGGCTCGATATGGGCCCTGGCCCTGTCCATGATAGATCCTCGGTTGCTGAAAGGGAATCATCAAGACTGTCTAAGCTGCCTTCCCTTGCGATATTAGCTACGAACTTCACTAGTACCTGGGGATATGCGACCTGGATGCAGTGAAACGCTCTTCTAAACCTCCGAGAAGCAACTAGTTCTTTCTATAGCTTGTTCTCGATTTCTGTCCGGCTATCGCGCATGCATCTTGTCCTTGGATGGCCAGGGTTGTGTCTGATTCGCCACCAGATTGAGGGCTACTTTGGTTCAACTGATAAGACGGCGTTCCTTGACAGGCAGGCGCTTTTCAGCTGGCCCCAGATTCTGAACTATTGGATTCTAACTCTCTCCCATGCAGGTACGGTCTTCCCCAGAATTGGGAATGATCGATCGTTTCTCCACAGGGTTCCTCGCTTGCAGCGGTACCTGCAGGGGACCATGGTGCCACAGACTATGACTGGGCGTCCTTTCTCCGGAGATCCTTCGGCTTACCATTTCATACTGCAGCTTCCGGAAACCGGCCACAATTCTTAGTTTGCCCAGAATCGATCTATCCCAATGCGACTGGCTTTTGAGGCAATGTCCATCGGTCCTCTCAACCGAGTGTGACTGAACGAATGACTCGAGATAACCATCAGGCATCTGATTGGGAATTTCCATGGAACTATACAACTTTGACGTTCAGCTCAATGCCATGATTTGAATTTGATCCTTAGTAATTGACCTCTGCTCAAACCTATAAAGGACGCCTGACTTCCTCTACAATTCCTCCAACATCAGACAAAAGCTGAACACTAGAATACAAAGACATTCTTCTACATACCAGCAACGCTCATTCTCCTGCATCTTTGCAAGTCCATCCATCACCATCATCACAATGCAGTTCACCACCGCTCTCTCCATCTTGGCCATCGCCACCACCGCCGTGGCCATCCCCGCCGCCCAGGACAGCACCGCGTCTCTTGAGTCTCAGGTGAAGGAGGTGGCCGCTCAGCGAGGCACCTCTGATGGCACCATCAGCACCGTCACAGAGGCGCAATGCGTTCCTCCCATTCTGTGCTGTGGCTCCCTGACCACCCCTCTTGACCCTCTTGTCGACCCTATCCTCTTGGACCTGGGTATCGATGCTTCCAACATTGTTGGCTCCATCGGTCTTCTTTGTACGTGACCAGATATTTTACTTCCTCAAAACTGGTTAACAGGTTACTAACGAGAATACAGGCAAGGACTACGACGACAGCTGCACGTCGGAACCTCAGTGCTGCACTGAGATCAACCTCTTGGTAAGTTTTCTCCTACGGAGGGATGATGTCAGGCTAACGACAGTGTAGAACGGTCTTGTGGCTCTCGGATGCTCTACCCTGGAGCAGTAAATAGTTGGACCTATGGATTCTGGGCTAGTCTGCATGAAGGGGGCTGTACTATGATGTGATAATAATCCTGTCGGGCCTTTAGAGTCCGTCTAATAGCGATACTTAATTTAATAGCATATAGACTTGATTTTCTAGGAGGATTGATGGCCTACTTTTTCTGTTTTAGTGCTCATCCCTCACTGCTTCTTGCTCACTAAGTACATCTGAGTATACTCTGAGCATGTTTTGAGCAGCCTGAGGCGATCACTAAGTATAGGATAAGCAGAAGACCAAGTATTCTGAATAAATAATCTTAATAAACTATACTCTAATTAATAATTATTCTCTTACTTACTTTTCTACTCACAGTCTACTCTTGTTTATTATACTTTTTTAAAGCCCAGTATTACTATCAAATCTCTTTCCCCAGTAGGAAAATACTTTAGTAGATTTTTTCTAGTAATAGACTATACAAAGTCCAGTAGTTTATATGATATTTTGAGTGCAATTAATATAACTAATACAGCCAGTAACTTAACCAAGTATCCTAACTTCCACTTAAGCAGTAAACTGTGTCGTCCGCTCAGCCGTACATAAAACCACACACTGGGAGATTAGTAGTTGATATATCTGCTCACCGGGCTTTAATTAGAAATATATTAAACTTAGTGCCCGTACTGCATTTTCTTTAATTCGTTTACATTTCTTCACTTGATACTCACCTTTGCCTCCTGAACTGAATTATATGCCACTTATACCCATATATTTATCTACTACGCAATACCTACGCCAATTTCAGTATTAAGACCTCATCTACCCAGTCATCACCAAGTATGTAAGTCTTCATCCGGTGGATACGTCCAAGATCGAAGGTATTCGGTGATGATCAGTTCTCTTTGTCCTCTTTCGAGAGGCTGAAAATGGTGAGCTTAGCGTCGCTGACTTAGTGGCAAACTACGGAGATGACGAACAAGGCTCTGGAACTTCAAAGCATAGACTTGAACAGTTCGACGACTGCACGATGGTTTTCAAAGTTAATAATTTTCGTATATACTAGAGACATAAAGTGTTGCACAAGTTGCCAACTCGTGAATATAAAATTCTGATCATTCGATGGGGTTCATCTCGAGCACTTCGAGAAGAGTATATATGTATGTATATGTATCATGTATACAGCGCCCACTAACGACCAGATTTCTCAAGATATCTCGTCATAGTCGCCAAGCAAACCGCCTGAACTTCTTCCAAATCCCAATCCTTACCAAGCTGATAAGGAATATGGGCTGCATTCAGACTTTCAAGTACTTCCACCTCATTCCCCTTCTGCCTCAAATTCTCCGCAAACTGCATGATCCCATCATACAGCACTTCCGATGTTCCTGTATTAACCAAGACCGGGATCCCCAGCTGCGTCTCGTTTCCGAGAAATGTGATCCAGGGATGATTGCTCTCCCACTCTTCCGGGGTGAAGGCCTCCCGGCCCCAGGCCAGGAAATTATGTTTGACATAGTCGGAGTGGTAATTGCGATTCCGGGGCACCTCGTCAATGGCATTCGCGCGCAGATCGACCCACGGAGACGACAGAATTGCACAGCGAGGTAACGGAAGTACTGCTGGGTTCCTCTCCTCGTTGATGTAGCGGAGCAGAGCCAGGACGAGATTGCCGCCGGCCGAGTCGCCCGCGAAGGCGATCTGCGAGGCCGGGATCTTCAGTATCTCGAGGGCATACACGTACGCTGTGATTCCATCCTGCAGTGCCGCTGGAAATGTTGTTGTCTTATCCCGCGACAAGCGGTATTGAATGGCCAGCGCGGGCCATCCAGACCATTTGCTGAGTTCATTAATCCCTACATCGCCGGTTTCTTCCGGACGACTCCCGAACATCACGTAGGCACTCCCGTGGAAGTGGATGATAAGTCGTCGGGGAGGTTCTGCTGGGGCCTCTGGGTACCAGACGGCTCCTACGGGTAGGGGATTAACTCCTGGTACGGAGCGAGTAATTCCTGTGTAGACTTCTTTGGATTGTTGGCCGCCTTCTTTGTCGGTCTTCGTGGGAATGGTCTTCTGGGGGTGGAGCACAATGAATCGATTCCCCAATGGACCGGCTTCCAGTGGCTTGGGCCAGAGTTTCTGAACCGTCGTCCAATAATTCATCACCACATTCCAGAGACTGCATGTCAATGCGGTTTTGTATGTCCACACCGGGTTGGGCCGGAGGAATCTGGGGATGTAGTAAATCGCCACAGCCGCTAGCCATGCCGGGACGGTGACGAGGGCGTACGCGGTGTAGAAATAGGTGAAAGCCTTGGAAGGCATGATGATGGTTGCTTCTAGCACTGAGCACTTAGCATTGGGCACTTGTCGAGGGTGGAAATAGGGGAGCTGGACTCCTCATATAGCTAGCTAGGTAGGTAGCTCTGCGGGTGAATCGCGACCGTAACAACCTTGGAAGAAGATGATTGAAAGGAACATTAATACCACCTCACCGCACTAAACTACTTAGCGTGGGGGCTAAGTTTGGACTCATCGCAGTGGAGATGCGAGGGAGGTCATCGATGATCTCTCAAGTTTGTAGCTCGATTGAGCAAACAAGAATGGGGCGGAGAACTGCTGGCGAACGGACTGTACTCCAGTTAACCCCAGTGTATAGTGGAGCCAAGCAGGGAGTGAAATCCTTAGAATCGCAAGTCTTTTAACTAATACCACCGGTATAATGCGCGGAAGTCCGAAGCCCATACCTACACACCCCACCCTCCCAATAAAAAAACAACAAAGGATATCATCTCACACTCACAACGCCCTCCACCCCCTCCCCCTACCTACATCCAGCCCCAACCCCAACCCCCAAGGGAGAAATCGAAAAAAATGAAAACCACTAATGCGTCTCCAACATCTGCGTCCCCTCCACCACAGGCAAATACTCCCTCCTAGCCTTACACCAAAACTCCACCTCAGGCCTCCACTTCCTGCCCGCCTCCCCATCCATCGTGCCGGACGGAACAACCACAAACCCCTCGGCCCGACTACTAGTCACATACACGGGGGATCCACAGACGCGACAGAAGCGTCGTTCCAATGTACTTCCGGAATCCACTTTCGTGTCTTTGAAGCTTTGGATGAGCGATTCGCCGGATTTGATGGTTAGTTGCTGATACACAATTAGTTGGGAATGTCCTTAAATGGAAGGAATAGGTTGGAGAGAGGAGAGAAGAGGGGGTGGGACTAACAGATTCTTTCATAAAGCTGTTGGCCATGAAGCTGGAGCCTGTGAATTTCCGGCAGTTTTCGCAGTGGCACATTACTCGTTTCATGGGTTCGCCGGTTACTTCGTATTGAATGCCGCCGCAGAGGCAGCTGCCGGTGATGGGTTCGGGGGTAGATGTGGTGGAGGTGGGGGTGGTGAGATCCATGGTTGTGGTTGTAGTTGTGATTTTGGTTGTACTAGTGAGAGATGACTTTTAGGGTTGGGTTGGATTGGATAGGAATAAAAGTAGAATAATAGTACTGGAATTCCTGTCCGGGGTTATCTAGTCGGTATATATGGAGAATGATGGAAGTAGCTGACAAATAAGCTTACTAGCAAGTCTGGCTGATTAATGCTGACTTGAGAGTCACGGCGATTTTATTTCCGCTTTTATGGGAATATGGATAGAATAGATAGTATAATGTTTCTACGTGAGTCACTCACTGTATAGATTTGTCTCATATGATGTTCGAAGTATTTCATCCTGGCCTATGGCTCAAGTTAAGCTTAGCAATGCTGACTCCTATCGGTTCCATCAGCTTCGATAAAGCGCCGGATAAGCTGCCTTGATCATGTCCGCGCCCTAGCGTGGTTTCAGCATGCATTCTTCACCAAAATGATTTTCTGGATTGGGGTTTAGTGACTCACCTTCTCTCCGATCATATACACAGCATTCTGAATTCGACAGTCAGGAATCAGAGGGATAATGGACGCATCCACGACGCGAAGATTCTGCACGCCGTGGACGCGCAGCTCCGGGTCCACAACGCCGTGTGCAATGTCCTTGGACAGTCGGGCCGTGCCGCAGGGGTCTATGACGTGAACATTGATTAGTTGCTGTGCGCGTCCATGCTGAGTGGCAGAGTATTAGCTTACGGTATCCCGTCTGCGACCGCTCCAAGATCATTTTGTTCATGGCTTCATCTGAGTGTCGGGGCATGGGCCACGGGTAGTCTTCGCCGAGAATCTCTTTCATTCCGTCTCCGGTCATGAGGATATCGTCCACGAAGCGAACACCTTCCCGCAAGGCTAGGATGTCAAGTTCATTAGAAAAGAAGTTCAGATTGATGTATGGCTGCTGGTGTGGATCGGCTGAGTTGAGCTTCACTTCTCCGTTTCTGGACAGCGGGCGGAGAAGATCGACGATGACGGTCAGCCAGTCGCCTTCGGGAGGAACGGGGAAGTGCCATTGGAAGGCGTCGGAGAACATTGGCTACAATCCATCAATATTTTCCCGTTAATTAAACTGGACAAAGGGCGACTTACCACGAAATCAATCTCAAAGTGCGGCTGCCCTTCCGGTCCAAATGGGTCCTTACCACCATTCTGCGCCTTCGCCTCGCGATACTCCTTGTATCGCTCCAAACGGTCATCAATGCGCGGCAGACCTACCATTTCCAACAATCCACTACTAAATGGACCCTTCTTGCTAGTGCGGTACTTCTGCAAAGCAGCGCTCTGCGCAGGACCAGCGCGGAGAAGGTGGCTATCGAGACCAGTCCCATCCTTTAGCCGGAACACATGAGCAAGAATAGGATGATCATGCAGGTTCTGGCCAACATGTTCCGACTGCACGACCGAGTCAATACCATGACGAGCCAGCTCTTCTTTCGGACCAATTCCCGAGAGCATCAGCAGCTTCGGCGTCTCGAAGACGCCGCACGCGACAATAATCTCATACTTGGCTGTGAAGGTCATTTCGGTCCGATCGGCGCCACTGACAGTGACGCTTGTCGCCTTGAGATTGTCATCGAAGTTGATCTTCTTCCCGATCGCAGAGCTTAATATGGTCACGTTTGGCTTATCAGCCAAATAAGATGCACTGGTCGACCGCATCCCACCGTAGATACTGTTGACACAGTGCGTCAGACCCTCCATCTTGCCAGAGTAGATGTCTTCGCATGTCTTCTGGCCTTTGCTGGTCCATGCTTCGGTCAGGGCGTCGCGGAAGGTGTGTAGTTCCGGGACGAGGTCTGCGTGAGATACATGCAGGGGACCGTTGCGGCCGATCTTTGATAGCTCTGAGGGGTAGAGGTTGTCGTCGTCATGGTAAGTAGCGGGCTAGTCCAGCACATAATTAGTATGATCCCTCCATTCCTTGTTCAATCTTCACTTACCTTATTGAAATACTCCTCACACCCATCCCAACTCCAAGAAGGACCTCCATATTCGGCCCACGCATCGAATGTCCCCTTACTACCCCGGATCCAGGTATAGTAGTTCAAGGAGCTACTACCACCGAGCACCTTGCCCCGGGTGTTGGGCTTCTCTACCCGTTCATAGTAGGGTCGGTTGATCATGGTGGACTTGTATGCCCAGTCATATTTGCTGTCACGTAGCCCAAAGGCAGATGCTGGTGTGGTTATTTCTGAGATCTCGCTCGGGTTGCTGGTTATGGTCAGATTGGCACAGTGATTGATGGTTGATTGTCGAGAGAGCATACATACCTAACGCCTGCTTCAATGACCAGGACTCTCACGTCGGGATTCTCGGCCAGCCGACCGGCCACGACATTTCCAGCTGTGCCGCCTGCTTCCTGTCAGATGGTAGATCATACAGGCGGGATAAAGATAGAAACATACCACCGACGACGACAAAATCAAAGCTATCTTCAACAGGAACAGTCATTGTCTATGAGCAGATAATGGAGATATAATCGGTGAACTAACCACCTTAATCGATGTTCTACTACTACCACGTCGGTAGTATTTATGTAGCCCAGATAGTACTTACTACCAGGGGTTATGTCAATATGCTGGTACTATTCAAATGTGTCGAGAATGACGTATCCCGGCTGCTCCACCAGTGCGCAAGCCGCGCAGACAACTTATCTTGTAATTCCATGACTTGGTACTAAGACATGCCGATCACCGAGTTATTTCCGTCTTATCAATATTGTCAATGTGGAGTGTATGTAACTCGTCCCTGCTTTTTCTAGAGAGCCGACAGCATGACAATGGTGTGGGTGGCTGATTGACCCACTCCTCTGCCGGACTAACGGCTGCTGAAGCTTGTTTTTGACTCGAGCCCTGTGGTAATCCGGTGGGACCAGGTCGGATGGATCGGATGCTGATGCTGAAGGGGGGAAGTGTCTGTGAAGCAAGCAGGTTGGGGATCTAACCCGTAGAAATACTCATCTAAGAGTACCTTGGTGGTGTTGATAGTAATCGAGGGTCCACTCACGTATACTTTAGTATTCTGTGTGGCCCCTCTACGATAACTATCAGAACAATTCTCTCAGAACGGTCATTTTCTTCGAACGGGAACCAAGCAACTTTCGAATCTCACTTAAATCACTACATATCAATCTTTCTTTCTCGAAGAACCTCTGACGGAGGACCGAGAACACGAGGAGGAGACCGGTAACTCCGTCGCAGATCATCCAGTACGCCATACTTCAATGCCACTGCCAACGATGCAAAACACAGCCAAGCAAAGTATGGCGCTGCCGGAGGGATAAAAAACCCGGTGATAATTGTTATGATCCCGCAGCCGAAGAATGCAAGTGCACCACTCTTCTCACGTTTCCATGATCTGTCGCGATCGTCAGAGTCTCTGTTAAGGTTTCCGACATCATGTAGTACCACTTGCCGTGGCAAAGATACAAAATTGAACCACGCATAGCAGGAACCTTCGTCCGTGTGCCCTTTAATTATCAGCTTCCCCACTCCATCATCGATGGCCATTCTCTCTGCAATAGCGAATGTCCTCTTTGCCGGAACCAGCAAGTGGAATATCACGTTATCTGCATTTTCCGGGTCTCTCTTTCGAAGCGACCGACGGTTTTGCCACATAAGAAGGAAAACAGCCTCGAGATCGGAGCACATCCCGCCAAATGAGGCTTGTAAGGGCCTCTTTTGGACCTGTGTCCTGAACTCTTCGTTGGCACTGGTTGTCGGATTGAAGACATAAAAGGCATGACGTCCATCGGCCTTTCCTCCGCCAACAGTCTTAGTTTCATTGTCGACGAACTTGTAGATGAAATATCCGAAGCCGTGGAACTTCCAGCCCTGGACCATTGGTGTCGTCTGATAGCTTGTCTCATCAGGAATGTCCTTGGGGTTTAGTCCGATGGCCCGTAACTCCTTCGCTTTTGTCTGTATAGTAAGGGCCTTAGTCGACAGAGCACAGGTAGCAAAGACGGCGGTAAATTCACGCCCAGCGTTGAAGGAGTTATTGAAGACCCTGAACACTCGGGGTCTGCCTCTAGAGAAGCTGCTTGTTGTTTTGTTAATGACCTGTTGGCTTTAATTATCCTGGTGGATTCCAGCTACGTACCCATCGGAGCTGTGTTGAATCTTGTACTCTTCACTGCCATCGGAACCGGTACTTGATACCACTTCTGGAAGATCCCCGGCAGCCGCTGCGAGATTGCGGAGTATCTGTATCATCGTCTGATCCGAGATGTCATTTGAAGTATTTTTGACGGGCTGGGACGTCTCCGAAGTGTTCTGAGAAACGGCTCCAAGGATGCGCTGGGCTGTACGACTTGCAGATTCAGCGAGACTATAAACTGGCTTGTTGAGGAGAATTGCAAGGGCTTGTATGAAGTTGTGCCATCCTACCGCAGCAGGATTCATAAGAGGCTTCAGGTCGTTAAAGAGTCTGACATAGGCTTCATCGCGAGAGGTGCCGGGATAGCGCTGCTGTATGAGGCATTCTATCCCTGTCGCATTCACGATGTTGGCAGACATCTAGCCAAGAGTTCAGTGTGAAGCAAGTACAATGTTGGACATAGAAGGATTCAGCTGCGGTAAACTGTGGTGGTCACACAAGCGAGTCAGAACGTGGAAATCTCGATAATCAAGGGTCTAATACATGTAAGTCGAAAAACGTGTTATCTGAGAATGCGTGTCGATGTAGGGACAAAATCACCGATGTTGAAGAGATTACAAGAGTGAAAACGGAGGTAAAGTAGTATTGCTGCGGCGCAGCACCCCTCAGCACTTGAATTGAAGACATCCGGCCCAATCAATCAACAGAGGGTGAGTGGCTTGGAACAGCAGATAATTATGGTTCAAGGCAGCAGCGGAAAGAAGCTCTGCATGGGATAGATCCAGTAAATGAATTGTGCTGTATATCGCTGATGCAAAGTAGCATGAGGCGGGAGGCCAGAGGTGTGCTATTGAGGAACACGACCTCGTTGGTTAATCTCCATCACCCCTGCTTGAGAGACTCTCTTGCTGCATCCTAAGTTATCGTATGTGGCGGTACTTTCTCATGCAGGTAGATCATTCCATAAGAATTACATATCATAGTCGTCACTTCCCTTTTTGCTTTCCCTCGTTTGTCCGACTGCGTAAGAGACTTCCGCACCCATGATCGCCTGAGAAACTTATTTCTGCCCTAATTAGGTCCCGTGCCAGGCAGCTAGGTGCTACTAGTGTTAGCAAAGAAGTACTTTCATCAGAACGATAGGGAGAGGAAAATAAGCTACCAGGTATAGGTGACAGTGTTATGACTGTCGCATCTTCCAGCATCACGGATCATGGCTAGTATCATAAATGTGTAAGAAGACGAAAAAAGATAGACTCCACTATTAATCTGCAGTAGTCTCATATATCCCACACGGAAGGGAAAAAAAAAAACCACAAAAAATGGAGCTGCGGGGAATCGAACCCCGGACCTCTCCCATGCTAAGGGAATATTATACCACTAAACCACAGCCCCATTTGTTGAAGAACGGGCCCACTATTTCACAATATATTCCAAGCTTACCATTACTCGCAATTTTTTGTCATGACAATTTACACATTTTTTTTTTTTCTCTCAGGGATTCAGGGATATTGACAATATTAGCTATAATATTCGATTATACTTGCAGTTAATTTGATCCTTTCTCCTGATAATCCATATCCTGAAACAGATAGTGCTTTTGATATGGTTTGCATTCTTTCTTGTCGACCAGTCCACCATCGAAGTTCATTCACCTTCCCTTCCACAAATATATAACCTCCATTCAGACATCAATATACTACTTCCACTGGTCAATCAACCCAGGATGAACCACCCCCTCATCCCTTCCACCCACCAACTACCCCAACAACCCTATCCTTCTCCACCTGAATAGTATCATCATCCTCCAGAGCGTCCCCATCCCCACCCTCACCCTCACCACCCTCATCCTCAAACACCGTCCAATTCCCAACCCCAGTCCGATAAACCACCTCCCCAATCTCCAACCCACCCGGCGCAAACACCACCATCCCACTCTTCAATCTATAGAACTCACTTCCTCCCTCAGCCTCAACATCCCTCCTCGCAGGCCCCCTCTTCGTATATTCATTCCCATCATTCGTGCAATTCGGCCTACTTTTACAATACTGCAACCGGCTGGCATTCGTAAAAGAGACACTAAACCGACACGGTGCGGTCCCATTACATCCTTTTCCTTGGAACTGTCCGCGCGAGTTGTAGAAGTTGCGGAGGACTTGGCCTTGGGCTGCGTGCCGATACCATCAACCCGTTAGCCCAAGATGTATATATAGCCAGTTAAGGAAACCTTGGCTAGTAAGGTAGGATGGGTTCAAACGTGCCATTGTTATACCGAGCTAGAACACAGCGATTTACTTGCCCGCCTCTGTCGGACTCCCGCACAGATCGAAACGGGTACTCGTCGCACTGGTAGCCTCTGCCGTAGGGGGATTTGCTGCACCGGTTGGAACTACCACAGCCGGCTTCGCGACTGCGGCGGTCGGAGACTTGTCGGCTGGGCTTGTCCCAAGTTAGGGTGGTGCCGAGACGTTTGCATTTGGTGCCTGGTGTGGTTAGGGGGGGATTGATGTTGGTGAGAGGTATGTTTGGGGGAAGGGGGGTACCGAAGCACATGTTTTGGCATACGTCTAGTTAGTTGGAGTTAGTATATGATGTACTAGAAGGCAGTGAATAGAAACGAGAGGATGGTTTACCGCCGACATGGGAGTTGTCGCAGTTGAAGGCTACACTTACAGCCGAAGAGAGGGTAAAGAAGGCTAGAAAGCCAAGGAAGAGGAAGAGTTGTTTCATGGTGCCCTGGGATGATGCTCAATGGCTTATGTATAGAGGTGTGGGGGTTGGTAGGCTTCATATTGGAGGCTTTATACTGCCAATGCTCGGAAGGGTGGATATTGGTAGTTGTACTGTGTGTATGATAAGCTTCAAGAACTGAGGGCATTCGTTGTACCGTGGCCATCTTGACTGAGACATTGTAGTTGGCTTAAGAGGCCTGTGGCACAATGTTAATTTGAATTGATCTGCTGATCATTCGACTGCGTCGAGATTGAGACAAGGGGTTGTGTAGCTACCGTCACAGGCTCAAGTGTGTAGATGAAGACAGGATAGCCATGGGGAAGAGAAGAGGGATGAAAAGAGGGGAAATGGTCCGAAATGGGGCTCTTACAGTGAGTATAGGCTCTCAGTCTTACAAGGGTCTGAAAAGGTGGCTTCATGTAGTGGTCGTGTGAGGTTGATAATGATATGGAGAATGGTAAATTAAGCCAATAGTAGATAATATCACGTCACATGCTTCAATATTGTACGAGATGGATATTGAGAAGAACAAAAACAAGAGATAGTAATTTTGTAGCACAACATCTAAGCTATTCATCTATGCCAGCGTTCACTCCATGTCCCATTTCCCAATTGAACTTGCTGGAAGAGGGGCTCTCATCACCGAAATTCAAGCTTGACAAGAGGATATTAGCATTGTCGATGTGGAAAAAGAATTTGTCCATGGGGTATTCTTTCTCCTCAACATCCGCGTACACCAACAAGAGTCCTTTCTCTTCCCACTCGCGAGTGGTGACAACAACAAAAGCTGTGGGGTACCAATGAATGTCGCCTTCGGCACCGCCATCATCACGCGGAGTAAATTCCTTGTCCAGCTCAACGTGAGCCTGGACGACATCTCGGAGGCTTTTCCCACTGAAGTCGTACACGGTAGGGGTGCGAACAAGAGGCATTGCTTCGTCGGTCATCTCCCGCTTCCAGTCCCGATTCAGGGCGGTGGTCAGCTTCTCCAGCTCTTCGGAGGACAATTCGATCATGGAATAGAGAGCAAAAGAGGCATCATCCCAGTTGGCATCGCTGCTTTGCTGAAGCTCCGGACAGGTCGAAGGGAGGGTGAGATCGAGGTGGGCATCCATGGCTGGGAACGATGCTGAGCTAAAAGACGTGAGCACATGGTAGGATTTGGAGAGCCGTCAGAAGGATGCGGCTTACTTGTCGACGGGAAAATTTGTGAGATGTAGCAAATTTTCGATGAAGCGATTATATCCTGCAGGGGAAAGAAGAAAGGATCGAGATGCTGGATGGAATGAGGTTGCACAAACGAATAAATAAGGAGGGGAAAGGAGAGGGGAAGGGGGCTGAAGCTTCCCGACTGATCTTTATAGCAGCCGAGCGGCTGATGCCACTCTGACGCAGGCAACATCAATGCCACCTCCTTAAAGTGAATGCCATAGTTACATTTCACCCGTTCAATGTCTTAGACTGACAGGGTCTGTACTCAGGAGACACTTTGTCAACCGGAGTCTCTCTTAGCACTGTTGTACAGACTCGAAGCAATATCCGGTATTCCGCTCACGGTCTATGGATAATCGAATCCCATTCGCGGATTCTGTACTTTTCATCCACGTGTCAAGTGGCGCAGCCAAATTGAGCAAGGTTCCGTCGTTGAGGTTTCACAGGTCTTCAAGTCTGGAAGCAATGACTGACCGACTGCCGCGTCCGGTGCGAGCCAACAGCTCGGCCAAGTCCATTCACTTGAGACCAGAATTTACCTCCTGCATCATGTCCCTGTCAATCTGGGGTCCCTGAAATGCTACCCTTCCTAGTCCATACCACAACAGGATCACAAGGCCAAATAGACCTATTAGCACGGGAGCCGTATAATTCATCGACTCGGCTTCTACCGGTAACCCAAGAGGCAGGCAGACAAACACTCCAAGTATAACAATCCACAAAATAACAAAGGCATTGCAGAGATAGCCGAGGCAGCCAAGCTTTAAGTATCGAAATGGTAGTGCGCCCGCTCTGCCTTTCATCAAAAGTATGCCCTGAGGCACCACGTAAGTTATGTGGAGGAAGAGTATCGCACTATTGGTGATCGTGTTGAAAGCGCCCGAGGAAACCAAGTATAACAGACTATAGATAGCAACAAAGCCAAAGCTAGCAACTGTGGTGCGGACAGGGAACTTTAGCTTGTCGTCGACTTTAGCAAAGTATCTTGCTGACGGGGAGTTAATCTAGTCTTGTCAGGTTGGAGTCATCGGCGTGTCATACAGACGCTTACATCGCGAGCTAAAGCCCATGCTACTCTGCCGCACGTCACCCATTGAGACGGGATTGAGGCTATAGCTTGGCAGTTAGCTCGAATGGCGCGTGCAAACGTGTCTCCCGGACTTACCAGCATAGACAACCAAGAGCCACACTGAGAGGAAGGTAGTAACGCCTTTGCTCTTTGTGCTGAATATAGCAGTTAAGACTAGTTTGACATAAAGGTCGACTCGGTAATACATACGCCTGATACATCACTTCCAAGCTTGGCAGTTCCGAATTGATAACCGCTTCCATATCGGACATGCAAAACATCAGTGCAACCGACAATGGAAGACAGGTAGCGAGACTCAGAATAACACTCATGGTCATGGCCTGAGGGACACGCTTCTCTGGTTGAGGGAGCTCTTCGCTAATGTGGATAGCTGGGCATCATCGGTCGGTCAGTGCGCGTCAGGGAGTAGTGAAGCTCACTGATACAGACATACCAGCATCAATTCCTGTCATACAATACATCGTATTCATTATACCCAGCATCCACGCAGTACCTTCGTTCCAGCCAGATGTTCCATACCCTCTTTGCAGCAGGAATGACACTGGTTGTTTTTCCTGACACATACCAAGTGAGATAGTAATAATAAGGGCCATGCCCGTAAGAGATAGAAAGAGGGCCGTGTGAACCGTCCAGTTGACTTTACTCGGAGCCAAGAATATCGGTGTCACTAGTGGATTAGCTACCCTGAGTTGCTACTTTGGACGATGATTCTCACATGTGAGCAGAGATATAGCAATATATACCAGGTATATATGCCACTGGGCAGCTGTATATTCTGTGTGCCAAAATTTGACTATACCCGCAAGGGAGGCCGTAACCATCTGGACACCGGAAGATCTGCAACGATCATCAGGGCCTTGTCGATCGACAGATCTGGGGCGGTGCAACCCACGTCACTATCCACCATGCTAAGACAGACATACATCCGACCACGAACGCTGAGAATCTCTTCGACTTGGTCGGACTGAGCATGTAGCAATAATAATACTGACCTCCGCTTGACTAGTCCTGTGAGCCATGCGATCAAGACAAAGCTCAAGGATGCAGTTGCAGAGAGCGTACCGGAAAGGCTGATGCCAGCTCACTGAGCCCGAGAATTACAATGATCTGAACGACAAAAGCGCAGATAGACCCAAATATTACTAATCGAGGACCGCCATAAGCCAGGATCTGGCCAAAGTTGCTCTGCATACGATGGACGCATCAGAAGATATCTCTGACGCTCTGGCATAGATGCTTACCATGTATCCTGCCCAGGAGTTTGTGATCGAGAAAGAAATCCCAAGAGTTGAAAGCCAATTGAACTGGCGCGGCATTCCATCCGCGTTAATTTCAGGGGTGACACCGCCGTCCAAATCGAGAATGCCGATTTCGCCATCTTGGATGCTTTCGAGGCTCACGATGGTACCTTTTCGATCCAAATCCGCTGTCATTTTCATTATATAGGGCTTTCAAAGCCTAACAAACTTTGTCGAGCCCTATATTGACAGTTTAGTAGTCCGAGTTTTTAACCTTGTGAAATTGGCATCGGTCTTTAAGAACTGTCGCATCTCTACAAGGTGAAGCAAGGGGCCTGTTCAACTGATCGTGCTCACCCTACCCTTGCTTTGAAAAAATGGGCCTGGACTGCTTTTCCTACAAGAAAGTCGCTATCTGTCGCTCTTGTACAACATGACTCGCGTGGAGGGTAATCATTCACATGGTTCTGGTAGAGTTGGGTCCATGACAGCCAGCGTTCGGTCTATCATTAGAGATTGAAGACAGCGAATGCACGGAACAGGATAGCCGCACCCTGCTTTACGGGCGAACTACACCGACTTCATAGCCAAGCCATGCCAAAATCCCTGAGCAAGCGGCCAAGGATTCTTCAAACATCTTTGCCTTGTCGCCTACGGTTCCAGCAGCTTCCAAGGTCTAGATTTTGACTTTAGAAGCGGACAACCTTACATCCTTCTGCAGGTGTATCATTGCTTTCATTCTTGGTTTCTCAACATCCGCCATGCCACCCAATAGAATCCGCGGCATATTATTTCCCTCGTCCGCCACCCTCACAGCCGGTCGCGGTGGCACAGCTGAGGGTTTCGCGCTATGCTCTTTCTCATCCCAAAGATGCGTACAGTCCTTTGAGATGCCTACCTTGACATGGTCATTCTCATTAGCCGCAGACGCTCGATTGCAGAAATCAAGACTCGAGACTTCTACCATCTATCATCTGTATGTTGTAAAAGACATCTCCATTAGTTTAGTTGTCAACCCACCTAAGAGCATCGGAACCGCTTGTGTTCGAAAATGGCACTTTCATAACTGACACTGGCGTGCTAGGAATCCGCCACAACGAAACAAGCCCCAACTTTCTATGCTAGCATTTGCGCCACAGGGAGAAATGAAAGAAAACAAGATAGGCCCGCCTAGCCCCAACAGGCATGTCTCACTCACGTATGCATATACGCCATGAACAAGATCATATTTGGCACAAAAGGCTGCCTTTTATTCCAGGCTTCCGACTCTTCAGAGTTGTGAAATCAACCCTTCGTGGAGACTTATCCATGACATTAAACTTGTGATACCATCCGTGATAGCATGGTTCTTTTACTTATCAATATTACCACGAATGACACCTCGATACTGTGAACATGATTACATGCTATATGAGCCATCAATTCAACCACTAACGATCTTTATATTTCCGGTCTATATCTTCGATCCTTCTAACAACGGGGCAACATGAACGTTGGACAAATCACGATCCTTTGAAACGACTCAGAGGTAGTTGATAGGTTACGATGGTCTTCCTTAAACACATTCTATGGCTTCATGACCATTCTTCGCCTCTCCGTTGGAACAATCAATCACCTCATGAAGCCCGGGCGGAACAAGTGACCTTCAGCTCACGGCCCCCTGCGGCTCAGCCCTGCGTAGGTTATCTACCTACCTTCGGAGTTCTTAGTCAGATGTAGAAATCTCGCGGCCTAAACTAAGTAACTAGGATCCGTGTAACCCTTTCCAGGCATCCATCATCATCATCATATAAACAATAGCTAAGCATCTTATGTTCTATCAGAGTCCCAATAGGCAGCAACATATTCGCTCCCTTGCTTTATCAATCTAACCTTATCTTCATCCCCTCCTTCTACTAGTTACTCTGTACGTATCCAACCCACAACAATGACCTCAATATCAACATCCACTCTCCCCACCATCACCCGCTCCACCTTCATCAACAGCACTTTCACCGATCTCACCCCTTCGGACACCATCACCCGCAGCGATCTCTGCGACGTGACAATCACCTGCTCCGGCAGTGCCAAAACCCCCACCAGCCTTCTCCGCTCCGCCCTAACATCCTGCATCGTCAAGCACTCATCCACTTACCGCTCCAAGCTAAACCACACCACCCTCACTAACGCCATTGTCTCCCGCACCGAAGCCACGCATACCTCTTTCGACATCTATACTTACTCGCACCGGAGCACCCTTTCCAATGCGATTCTCCACGATCGCGCCTCTGTCAAGCGCAGCAAGGTGAAAGATGCTAGTTTGTTGGGCGGGAGTTCTCTCTGGCGGAGTAATGTGTCCAAGTGTATGATCGCGGATGGGTGTCGGGTGCAGCGGTGCAAATTGGTGGATTGTGAGGTGATGTGTTGTGTGCTGGTGAAGACGGATCTGGAGGGGATGGTGGTTAGGAATGGGGTTTGGAAGGATGGGGTGTTGGTGGGGAGGGTTAGGGAGGGAGAGGAGGTGGTGGTGTTGAAGAAGGGGGGTCAGGGGGTAAGTTTCTTTTTGTCTATTCTTGTTGATGTATTCTGATTTGGAGGGTTTGGCTGATTGTTGGTGTGCAGAAGATGCAGATTCCTGTTGATGAGAAAAAGTTGGATAGCAAGGATGTAAAGTACTGGTTGGAGGAGGAGAGTTCGGACGAAGAGGGGGCGAGGGAGATGTCGCCGCCGCCGGCGTATACGGCGTAGAGGTTGACGTTGGATGTCCATATTTCGGTAACTCGTTGTATATAGCACTGTCCCATGGGTTCTACTGGTAAATTTTACGCTCTTTGAAGTCTTGCTGGCATACACTATTGCAACGGAGTGCTAGACCGGTTGGTGTACAACGATCGCTCCAGGCAGTTGGCGAAAAAACACCATTCCCCAGGTGGGTCTAGGATCTATGGATGATGTTGCCATAGTCAGGCATTGTCAAGCAAACAGTCATAGCTAATCAGGATAAAAGAATTGATACGTTGTGGAAAGTAGTGACTTTCGCTTAAACCCCTGCAGGATTGAAATGCTCCGCTATACGGGTCTCGGTTCACTGTCAAATGCGCTTGACATGGTAGGTGCGTCAGGTCTTGACCTAAATACCACTAAATACCAAATGAAGGGGAAAAGATGTACCAATCACTCTAAGCCGGAAATATCGGGAGTGATTCCGGTATCTTCGGTTGAGACAGTTCGAAATGTATCCGATCTAAGTGTGAAACAAAATTGAGAGCGAAGGAGCTTCTTTGGTGAAATTGGCGACAGTGGATCCAGTCGTGTATAGTGCGCAAGCCATAATCTCCGGGACATTGAGCGATTTAGATCTGCTCCGTGATCCGAAACGTTACTTTTGGCTTACTTGGACCCTCGTCATGCTGATTCGTCAAGGTGCATATCGCAGTCAGCCCTTCGAAAAGCCGTCCGGATACCAGATTTGTCCCAGGTCTTCATGAGTGGTCAGGATACCCAATGGGCACTCTGTAGGCATCCCAAACAGACCCTAAATCACACTTCATTTCGCAAAATGAATCCTTGTCTAGCCGGTCGGCTGCTCGCCAAAATAGAATATAGTTGCATGGCTAGCGCACTGACGGTCGCCCATGGCGTACTAGCCGCCGCATTAGTCTTTGGGCTTAGTGCCAAAAATTTCTTTCTTCCGAGTCATGATGTTGCACACACAACAAAGACGCTGCTGTATTTGCCGTCTTGTGTAGGTCATCAGAGAATGAACTGGCGCAGCAAGTTGATACGAGACAGTAGAAAAAGAAAGTCATATGCTAGCAAAATCAGGGCGATCACTTTAAGGAGTCACGGGAGATCGTAGCGGCGTACCGATTATGTATAGCAGCAGTTCAGGAGAGGGTGGAGAAACCACTGTGGAGTGGGTACCAGTACCTTTGTACCTCGATGATGTCGGCAGCTGCAAGCACCAAGTTTGGGTAGTGCATGTGGCAGACGGACAGGTTTAGAATCTGCCAGCAGGATGTCTTTTGCATTTTGCAGGCACTACGTATCGAGTTAATGCATTCAACGATGATGAAAACATCTCTATTGAGGAACCATCAAGATAGATGGACAAGAGATGAGAATTGTAGGCAGTAGGCAGGGAGTAGTGGAGACGGAATGATGATAAGGCTGGCCGCTAAACCCCGCCGAGGCCGGATGGGCGCCTGAGGCCGGAGCAGCAACTAAGCAACTAACGCCACTTTCGTTCCGGTCGGCCTTCCGCCGGGACTCTGCCATTTCTCTCCACTTTGTCGCTCCAAGGAAATCCGCGTCACTCTTTCTTTTCTCCCTCATTTCCTCCATGACTTATTTATCGCCTGGTCTTCTTTCCTATCCTCTTCTCTCCTCCTCCTCTTCTCCCGCTTAGTCGCGTTCCCCTCCTAGATCATCCTTGGTGTACTGTTCGGCGGACTTTGGCATATGAACGACTACAACCACGCTTAGATTGGAAGTCTGCCGTCATCCGTCCCTTTTCTCCTTCATTTTCGCGCCACTGAGCGCAAGGCCTCAACCATTATGGGTCTCTCCAAGACAAACAGGATCTTGATCCTGTTGGCGATTGATACGGCTTTCTTCTTATTGGAATTGATTGCTGGTTCGTGTCCATACCATTATATGCTCCCAGGCGTCTCTTAACGATAATTCTTCGCGCAGGTTATTCCGTGCACTCCCTTGCCCTGGTTGCCGACTCGTTTCACATGGTACGCCTCATCTCGTCGTCTTACCGGAATACCCTAGAGATTGCATGATTCTGACAGTATTGGCACAGCTGAATGATGTACTGTCACTATGTGTGGGCCTCTGGGCTGTCAAGGTCGCCAACCGCGAAACCAACTCAAAAATGTACACCTACGGGGTAAGCTTGTCTCGATCCTACAGGTCCACCTCTCATCCTGACGGTTGGTTCTTTAGTGGCAACGCGCAGAAACTCTGGGTGCTCTAGTGAATGGTGTCTTCCTGGTCGCTCTGTGTCTATCGATTTTCCTGGAAGCTATACAACGACTAGTTGAGCCTCAGGAAGTGAAGAACCCGAAATTCGTTTGCATCGTTGGATGCCTCGGTTTGCTGTCGAATATAATTGGTCTTGTTCTATTCCATGACCACTCCCATGGGCACGGCCACAGTCATGGCCCTGGAGATCTGGAAGAAGGCGCTGATGACCATATTCATGCTGCGGGCCATGACCACGATCATGACCACGTGCACGCAGATGGCCAGAACAACGTTAGTGGACTCATCTCTACTAGGTTTATGTAGCTGACACAAGTGGACTAAGCAGACTGGTGGTGCCGAGCCACCCTCTCCCTATTCGCGTCGCCGCCGGACAGTCGACAGTCGCTACAGTGGATATGTTGACGTGGAAGACATCCGGATTCACCCCGCTAGTATGAGACAGGAGATTATCGCAGCCAGTAAGAACCGTTATGATGATGAACAGTCCGGCTCGGACAGCGATCTTCAAGAGGGCGCCGACGGCCAGCCATCTGAGCGCTCAGCCCTCCTTAGTCACGGCGGTCGCAATGGTAAATATACCGATGAGACGGAGTCACTTGCTCGGTCTCGGACTGCTGCTGCCGATGATGATCTCCACAAATTTCACAATCATGCTCAACCAAAGCCCAAAGACGAAAAGCATGGCCATGGTCATGGCCATGACCTCAACATGCGGGGCGTCTTTCTTCATGTGATGGGCGATGCACTGGGTAACATCGGTGTCATCGCTTCTGCGCTCATCATCTGGCTGACCGATTATTCTTGGCGATTCTACGTGGATCCTGGGATTTCGCTTGTTATCACTGTGATTATTCTGCTTTCCGCCATTCCCCTATGCAAGGCTGCATCGCGAATTCTCTTGCAGGCAGCGCCCCACGGCCTCAGCATCGACCATATCAAGGAGGACATCGAAGGACTTCCGGGCGTCATCGGCTCCCACCACCTGCACGTATGGCAGCTGAGCGACACCAAGCTAGTCGCCTCTATTCACATCCAGGTGGACACGGAGATCAAGGGTGAAGGCTCAGAGCGCTATATGCGTCTGGCCAGGCAAGTGAGGAAGTGCTTGCACGCTTATGGGATCCATTCTTCGACGATCCAGCCTGAATTTGCGCCCGATAGTGACGCTGAGGATACGATCATGGCCCCCTCGGACTACCGTGGCGGTAGCAACGGAGCCTCCGCCTCGGGGACTCTTCCCAGTCGAACACCCAGTGTACCTGACGGTGACTCGCAGGCGTGCCTCCTGGAATGTGGCGAGGAGTGTGCCCGAGGTGGCCAGTGTTGCCCCAACCCCAAGCAATCACCGTGAGGTGATCCGATAAAAATTTTCCCTGTCCTATGATCTCTTTTTCTTACACCTTCCTTACAACCTCACCATATTAATTTTCCTTTCTGTTCAACATACCCCATTATTTGTATGACTGGAACCTATGTGTTTGGACTGGCCGTTGTTGACATTGCATCTCAGGTCAACTTGGTGCATGTTGGGTGGACTTCCTAGATGGCTGCATGTGATGAGACTTGTCAATGACAAGCGTAATTGCATTCTTTACACTTTTCTTATTCTTCTCTTGTATTCTTAGCAATGACATTGCACATCTGAATCCGTCGTCTTCGCTTCCAAGTAGTAGTTCCCCTGAATTATGGACCTGAGTGGAGTGTGGTGGCGGAGTTTTGGCTGCCAAGTGTTTCTCAGACCCTGAAGATTGAGGCCTGGGGCCAAATCGGGGACAAATGTCTCAAAAGCGTCGCGCCCAGCCGCAGCACACGTGACGTGTCTCCATCCGTCAATCGGCGGCGATCCCCCTTGGACCATCCATTCCCACATCGTCATGCACTGACTCTCATTCCTTCATTCTTATATCTAATCTCTAGCTGACCAGTCGCTCGTTTATTGTGTTTCTTACAATTGTTGATGCTCCCCAAAGCATGACCTCCGGTTCGGTCAACTGCTAGCTGCCCACCTCTCGTGTGTCAGCCTCGGTACCGCAATGCAGCAGAGCTGCGCTCGACCATCCATAGGTTGAAACAACGAAGATGAGCTATTCATACTCGCACAACGCCATTTCCGACTCTTATCGTCCTGCTCGACCAGGATCTCCCTCGTGGTCCTCGGGTTCGTCGGAGCGGGATCAATCACCGCCGCCATGGCCGAAACGGTGGGCTTCGGATATACGTGAGGTGACAAGTACTAGGCATGGGATATTGTCGTTATTCAAGCGGGTCGCTAGATATGTCTTCACCATCTCGAACGCTTTGATTGCTTTATGGATCTGTACATTATGGTGGGGCGAACGGACTGTCTTTCAGGACAGCGTGAAAGCATGCAACTGGGGTAATTGGGAGAGATGGGTAGGTGGCCGACGTTGGAATCTGACCCTTTCTTTCTTCCGCTAACTCATCATGTTTACTCGATACAGCCCAAAGACGCAATTCCACATCATGTCGCCTTCATCGCCGATCCACAATTAGTCGATCCTCATACCTATCCCGGCCGGCCATGGCCTCTTTCGACGTTGACCGTCAAATTCACCGATCAATACCTTAGGAGATCCTTCTCGTCCATTCAGAACGAATTGGGTCCAGACTCAGTGTTGTTTCTGGGTGACCTTTTTGATGGGGGCAGGGAATGGGCTACGGCATCCAGTTCCAGCCCGGAGAAACGCTACAAGAAATACAAGGACCGATTTTGGAAGAAAGAGTTCCATCGG